GAATCGCTGGAGCGGCGTCGCCGTCGGGGCCGCTCGGAGCGTTTGGAGCGTCTGGTGCGGCTGAACGAGCAGCGCTGCGGCCTCAGCCCCATCTACGGAGCTGAAGTGCTCGACTTCCTCACCCTGCCCCCCAAAAAACCCCCCCCGGGCAGCGCCCTGGGCAGGGCCGTGCTCGGAGTGCCCGACAGGTTCCAGATGATGAAGCCCCTGCTCGAAAGGTGGGTGCAAATTATGGAAATTCGGTGAAAATTTGGGAATTTTGGGGATTTTATTTGTATTTTTTTAGGATTTTTTTTGGGATTATTTGGTGATTTTTCAGATTTTTTTTCAGGATTTTTTTTTGGTTTTTTGGGGATTTTTTGAGGATTTTTTGGTGATTTTTCAGATTTTTTGGGATTTTTTTCAGATATTTTTGGGTATTTTTTTGGATTTTTTGGGGATTTTTTAGTAATTTTTTTTTTATTTTTATGGGATTTTTTTAGGATTTTTTAGTAATTTTTTGAGATTTTTTTAAAGATTTTTTGGGATTTTTTGAAAGTTTTTTAGTAATTTTTGGGGATTTTTTTGAGATTTTTTTGGGATTTTTTTGAGATTTTTTCAGGATTTTTTCGGGGTTTTTTTGGATTTTTTTCAGGGATTTTTTGGATTTTTTTTGAGATTTTTTCAGGTATTTTTTTGGATTTTTTGGGGATTTTTTAGTAATTTTTTTAGGAATTTTTGGGGATTTTTTGGGATTTTTTTAGGATTTTTTTGGGATTTTTTTAGGATTTTTTAGTAATTTTTTGAGATTTTTTTGGGATTTTTTGAGGGATTTTTTGGAATTTTTTTGAGATTTTTTTCTGGATTTTTTAGTAATTTTTTAGGAGTTTTTGGAGATTTTTTTGGTATTTTTTGAGATTTTTTTGAGATTTTTTAAGGAATTTTTAGGGATTTTTTGAGATTTTTTGGGGATTTTTTTTGTGATTTTTTTGGATTTTTTCAGGGATATTTTGGGAATTTTTTAAGGATTTTTTAGTAATTTTGGGGGATTTTTTGGGTATTTTTTACGTTTTTTTTTAAATTTTTTTCGGGGATTTTTTAGGATTTTTTTGCGATTTTTTGAGGATTTTTTGAGGATTTTTTGGGAGATTTTTGTGGGGTTTTTTGGGTAATTTTCAGGTAAGTTCAGGGCAGTTTTAGGGAAGTGCTCGACTTCCTCACCCTGCCCCCCAAAAAACCCCCCCCGGGCAGCGCCCTGGGCAGCGCCGTGCTCGGAGTGCCCGACAGGTTCCAGCTCATGAAGCCTCTGCTCGAAAGGTGGGTGGAAATTATGGATATTTGAGAATTTTGGTGAATTTTGGGGATTTTATTTGTATTTTTTTAGGATTTTTTTGGGGATTTTTTTGGGGTTTTTTAGGATTTTTGGGGGATTTTTTGGTGATTTTTCAGATTTTTTTTGGATTTTTTTTGAGGTTTTTTCGGGTCTTTTTTTGGATTTTTTTTGATTTTTTAGTAATTTTTTTGGATTTTTTAAGGATTTTTTCAGGATTTTTTAAGAATTTTTTTGGATTTTTTTGTAATTTTTTCAGAGATTTTTTAGGATATTTTCAGGGATATTTTTGGATTTTTTGAGGATTTTTTTAGTAATTTTTGGGGATTTTTTGAGGATTTTTTTGGGATTTTTGTGGATTTTTTCAGAATTTTTTGAGGGATTTTTTTTGATTCTTTAAGGATTTTTTAGTAATTTTTGGGGATTTTTTAAAGGATTTTTTGCAATTTTTTTGAGATTTTTTTCATGGATTTTTTGGGATTTTTTGGGGATTTTTTGGGATTTTGTTGTGATTTTTTTTGTGATTTTTTGGGATTTTTTCAGGGATATTTTGGGAATTTTTTAAGGATTTTTTAGTAATTTTTGGGGATTTTTTGGGTATTTTTTACGATTTTTTTAAAATTTTTTTCGGGGATTTTTTAGGATTTTTTGGGTGATTTTTTGAGGATTTTCTGAGGATTTTTTGGGAGATTTCTTGGAGATTTTTGTGGATTTTTGTGGGGTTTTTTGGGTAATTTTCAGGTAAGTTCAGGGCAGTTTTAGGGAAGTGCTCGACTTCCTCACCCTGCCCCCCAAAAAACCCCCCCCGGGCAGCGCCCTGGGCAGCGCCGTGCTCGGAGTGCCCGACAGGTTCCAGCTCATGAAGCCTCTGCTCGAAAGGTGGGTGCAAATTATGGAAATTTGGGTAATTTTGGGGAATTTTAGGGATTTTATTTGTATTTTTTAAAGATTTTTTGGGAGTTTTTTTGGGTTTTTTTAGGATTTTTTGGGGATTTTTAGGTGATTTTTCAGATTTTTTTTTTGATTTTTTTTTGAGATTTTTTCAGGTCTTTTTTTGGATTTTTGGGGGATTTTTTAGTAATTTTTTTATATTTTTTCGGGATTTTTTGGGATTTTTTTTTGATTTTTTCATGGATTTTTTGGGATTTTTTGAGGGATTTTTTGGCATTTTTTGAGGGTTTCTTAGTAATTTTGGGGGATTTTTTAAAGGATTTTTTGGGATTTTTTTGAGATTTTTTAGTAATTTTTTTAGGAATTTTTGGGATTTTTTGGGATTTTTTTGAGATTTTTCAGAGAATTTTTTAGGATTTTTTTGCGATTTTTTAAGGATTTTTTGAGGATTTTTTGGGAGATTTTTGTGGGGTTTTTTGGGTAATTTTCAGGTAAGTTCAGGGCAGTTTTAGGGAAGTGCTCGACTTCCTCACCCTGCCCCCCAAAAAACCCCCCCCGGGCAGCGCCCTGGGCAGCGCCGTGCTCGGAGTGCCCGACAGGTTCCAGCTCATGAAGCCTCTCCTTGAAAGGTGGGTGCAAATTATGGAAATTTGGGTAATTTAGGGATTTTTGGGGATTTTTTGGGATTTTTTTCAGATTTTTTTCGGGATTTTATTTGTATTTTTTTCGGATTTTTTTGGATTTTTTGGTGATTTTTCAGATTTTTTTGGATTTTTTTTGAGATTTTTTCAGGTAACTATTGGGAGATTTTTTGTGATTTTTTTAGGATTTTTTCAGGATTTTTTCAGGGGTTTTTTGAGATTTTTTTGAGATTTTTTAGGATTTTTTTTGGATTTTTTTAAGGATTTTTTAAGGGTTTTTTGAGGGATTTTTTTGGATATTTTCAGGGATTTTTTGGGATTTTTTCAAGGTTTTTTTGGGATTTTTTTGAGATTTTTTGGGATTTTCTTTTTTTGGGGGGGGATTTTTTTGAGATTTTTTGGGATTTTTAAGGGATTTTTTTTTTCAGGGATTTTTTGGGATTTTTTGAGGATCTTTTAGTAACTTTTAGGAAATTTTTAAAGGATTTTTGGGATTTTTTTGAGATTTTTTGGAGATTTTTTGAGGGATTTTTTGAGATTTTTTTCAGGGATATTTTGGGAATTTTTTGAGGGTTTTTTAGTAATATTTGGGGATTTTTATGGATTTTTTGGGATTTTTTTGAGATTTCTTCGTAGATTTTTTGGGATTTTTGGGGGGATTTTTTGGGAATTTTTTTATTTTTTCAGGGATTTTGTAGATTTTTTTTTTGAGGATTTTTTAGTAATTTTTTGGGATTTTTCTGAGATTTTTCAGGGATTTTTCAGGATTTTTTGAGGGATTTTTCAGGGATTTTTTAGGATTTTTGGGGGGATTTTTTGGGTATTTTTTGGGATTTTTTTCAGGGATTTTGTTTTTTTTTTTGAGGATTTTTTAGTCTATTTTTGGGGATTTTTTTCAGGTAATTTTGGGGATTTATTGGAATTTTTTTCTGATTTTTTTGCAGATTTTTTGATGGGTTTTTTGGGTTTTTGGGGGGTTTTTCAGGATTTTTTGGGACTTTTTTGGTTTTTTGGAATTTTTTAGTAATTTTTTTTAATAAATTTTGAGTAATTTTTAAAGAATTTTTGGAGAATTTTTTGGTAGTTTTTTTTGATTTTTTGGGAGATTTTTTAGAATTGTTTTTTTATTTTTGAGGGATTTTTTAGTAATTTTTTTAGTAAATTTTGGGGAAATTTTAAGGAATTTTTTGCAAATTTTGGGGGATTTTTAGGGTGATTTTTTGGGATTTTTCGGGAGTTTTGTTGGAATATTTTGGTGAATTTTTGAGGATTTTTTGGGAATTTTTTTTAGTTTTTGGGGATTTTTTAGTTAATATTTTTAGTAAATTTTGGGGAACTTTGGGGATTTTTTTCAGGAATTTTTCAGGACTTTTCTGAGATTTTTGGGGGATTTTTTTTTTGAGGGGGAAATTTTTTAGTAATTTTTGGTAAATTTTGGGAGATTTTTTGGGACTTTTTTGGAGGTTTTTTTGGATTTTTGGGAGATTTTTTAGGGGATTTTTTGGGGTTTTTTTGGAGGTTTTTTTAGGACTTTTTTGGGGGTTTGTTGGGAATTTTTGTGGATTTTTGGGGGTTTTTTTGGAGATTTTTTGTATTTTTTGGAATTTTTGGGGGATTTTTGGGGGGATTTTTTAGGGATTTTTTGATTTTTTTTTTCGATTTTTTGGGGTTTTCTGGGCATTTTTTTGGGATTTTTTGCAGACGCTTTTGAGACTTTTTGGGAATTTTTTGGGAAATTTTTTTGGAGATTTTTTTGGGATTTTTTTAGATTTTTAGGGGTTTTTTTTGAGGGTTTTTTGGGGATTTTTGGGGGGATTTTTGGGTAATTATTGGGAGATTTTTTGTGATTTTTGGGGGATTTTTTTGTGGGTTTTTTTGATTTTTTGGGGATTTTTTTGAGGTTTTTGGGGCATATTTTGGGGGGTTTTTTTGAAATTTTTGGGGGTTTTTTTGAGTTTTTTGAAGATGTTTTTGGTGGGTTTTTTTGTATTTTTCAGGGTTTTTTGGGGGGATTTTTTAATGAATTTTGGGGAGATTTTTGGGTAATTTTGGGGGTTTTGGGGGGATTTTTTGTAGGTTTTTTGGGATTTTGGGGGATTTTTTATTTTTTGGGGTTTTTCAGGATTTTTGGACATTTTTGGCAATTTTTGGGGGAATTAGTTACTTTTGGGGTGATTTTTTTGTAATTTTTGGTGAATTTGGGGGATTTTTTTTTATTTTTTGCCAAATTTTGGGAGAATTGAGTAATTTTGGGGGGGTCCAGGAATTTTTGGGGGCTCCCAATTTCCCCATAAAAGAAATTTTGGGTTTGTTTTTTTTGTTTTTGGGAGGAATTTTGGGGGTTTTGGGGTTTTTTAAGGAAAATTTTAATTCCAGATTTTTGGGAGGGGTCCCACATTGAGACCCCCAATTTGTGTCCCCACCCCTCTCCCCCAGATTTTTTTTGGGGGCTTCAGAATTCCTTTTTGGGGGGGAGGGGATTTTGGGGATTTTTGGGCTGATTTTGGGTGGGTTTTTTAGGTGATTTTTTTGGAATTTAAAGTCCAGGATTTTTTAGGGGGGGGTCCAAAATTTTTAGGGGTGTCCAGATTTATTTTTTTGGGGGGTTCAGTTTCTTTATTTTGGGGAGGAGGCTCAAAAATCTCCTTTTTTTGGTGTTTTGGAGGGGATTTTTTGGGGGAATTTCGAGCTCCAGATTTTTTTTGGGGGGTCCCCATGACCTGACCCCCCCAAATTTTGTCCCCCCCCTTTCCCAGATTCCTGGTGATGGAATTTGGGGGGGTTGGGTTAATTTTAGGGTCATTTTGGGGTCATTTTGGGGTCATTTTGGGTGTTTTTAAATGGATTTTTATGGGAATTTTTAGGAATTTCGGCTCCAAATTTTTTCTGGGATCTCCCCAAATTTTGACCCCCCGAATTTTGTGTCTCCCCCCCAGGTTTCTGGTGATGGAATTTGGGGTGATTTGGGTGGGTTTGGGTTGATTTTTGGCTTCATTTTGGGGTCATTTTGGGGTCATTTTGGCTGTTTCTGAGTGGATTTTTAGGAGAATTTTTAGGAATTTCGACTCCAAATTTTTTCTGGGATCTCCCCAAATTTTGACCCCCCGAATTTTGTGTCCCCCCCCAGGTTCCTGATACTGGAATTTGGGGGAAGGGTTGGGGTCATTTTGGGGTCATTTTGGGGTCATTTTGGGGTGGTTTGGGTGTTTTTGAACAGATTTTTATGGGAATTTTTAGGAATTTCGGCTCCACATTTTTTCTGGGATCTCCCCAAATTGTGATCCCCCGAATTTTGTGTGTCCCCCCCCCCGATTCCTGGTGATGGAATTTGTGGGGGGTTGGGATAATTTTGTGGTGATTTTTGGGGTCGTTTGGGGTCATTTTTGGGTCATTTTGGGTGTTTTTAAATGGATTTTTAGGGGGATTTTTAGGAATTTTGGCTCCACATTTTTTTTTTGGGGGGGGTCCCCATGACCTGACTTCCCTCTCCCCAATTTGTGTCCCCTCCTAGATTCCTGGTGCTGGAATTTGGAGGAATTTTGTGGGAGTTTTGGATTAATTTTGGGGTCATTTGGGGTCATTTGAGATCATTTTGGGTGTTTTTAAACAGATTTTTATGGGAATTTTTAGGAATTTCGGCTCCAAATTTTTTCTGAGATCTCCCCACGACCTAACCCCCCAAATTTTGTGTCCCCCCCCAGGTTCCTGGTACTGGAATTTGGGGGGAAGGTTGGGGTCATTTTGGGGTAATTTTGGGTCATTTTGGGGGGTTATTTTGGGGTCATTTTGGGTGTTTCTGAGCAGATTTTTACGGGGATTTTTAGGAATTTTGACTCCAAATTTTTTCTGGGATCTCCCCAAATTGTGACCCCTTGAATTTTGTGTCCCCCCCCAGGTTTTTGGTGATGGAATTTGAGGGAATCTGGGGTGGGTTGGATTACTTTTGGGGTGATTTTTGGGGTCATTTTTAGGGTCGTTTTGGGTGTTTTTAAACGGATTTTTACGGGAATTTTTAGGAATTTCGGCTCCAAATTTTTTCTGGGATCTCCCCAAATTTTGACCCCCCAAATTTTGTGTCCCCCCCCAGGTTCCTGGTGCTGGAATTTGGGGGAATTTTTGGGGTTTTTTGTATTAATTTTGGGGTGATTTTGGGGTGGTTTGGGTGTTTTTGAACAGATTTTTATGGGAATTTTTAGGAATTTCGGCTCCACATTTTTTCTGGGATCTCCCCAAATTTTGACCCTCTAAATTTTGTGTCCCCTCCCCAGGTTTCTGGTGATGGAATTTGGGGTGATTTGGGTGGGTTTGGGTTGATTTTTGGGGTCATTTTTAGGGTCATTTTGGGTGTTTCTGAGCAGATTTTTACGGGGATTTTTAGGAATTTCAGCTCCAAATTTTTTCGGGGATCTCCCCAAATTTTGACCTCCCGAATTTTGTGTCCCCCCTTTCCCAGATTCCTGGTGATGGAATTTGGGGGATTTGGGTGGGTTTGGGTTGATTTTTGGGGTCATTTTGGGGTAATTTTGTGTTGGTTTGGGTGTTCCTGAGCAGATTTTTACGGGAATTTTTAGGAATTTCTTAGGAATTTCGGCTCCAAATTTTTTCTGGGATCTCCCCAAATTGTGACCCCCCCAAATTTTGCGTTCCCTCTTTCCCAGGTTCCTGGTGACGGAATTTGGGGGAATTTTGGGGTGGTTTTTGGGTCATTTTGGGGGTGATTTTGAGATCATTTTGGGTGTTTTTAAACAGATTTTTACGGGAATTTTTAGGAATTTCGGCTCCAAATTTTTTCTGGGATCTCTTCACAACCTGACCCCCCGAATTTTGTGTCCCCCCCAGGTTCCTGGTGACGGTGCCCCCCGTGGCGTCCCGGGGGGTTTCCCTGCACAGCGCCCGCCCCCCGCCCTGGGGGCAGCGGCAGCGCCAGCGCCTCGAGCAGCGCCTGCTCCACCAGCTGGGGGGGCCCCTGGGGGGGCTCCTGGGGGGGCCCCGCACCCACTTCCCAGACCCCCGCCTCGTCCAGTACGACTGCGGTGAGTTTGGGGCCAAAAACCGGCATTTTGGGCAATTTCGATGAATTTTCGGTGAATTTTCGGTGAATTTTTGGTGAATTTTGGGGAATTTTTGAGGGGGTTTTGGGGGGCTTTGGGGGGATTTTTGGGGATTTGGTGGTGGGTTTTGGGTTTGGGAGGGATTTGGGTTGATTTTGGTCAATTTTGGTTGATTTTTGGGGCTTTTTTGGTGAATTTTGAGGGATTTTTGAGGGATTTTTGAAAGATTTTTGAGAGATTTTTGGGGCTGTTCTGGGGTATTTTTGGGGTGGATTTTGGGAGATTTGGGGGCATTTAGGGAGGATTTGGAGATCTTTGAGGTGTTTTTGGTTAATTTTGGGTGATTTTGGGGTGAATTTGGGAGGTTTTTGGGGTTAATTTTGGAGGGAAAGGTTTTTTTTGGGGGGGGGAGCAGCGCCTGCTCCACCAGCTGAGGCCCTGGGGCTCCTGGGGCCCCGCACCCACTTCCCAGACCCCCGCCTCGTCCAGTACGACTGCGGGGAGTTTGGGGACAAAAACCGGCATTTTGGGCAATTTTTAGGGTTTTCTTGTGAATTTTCCGTGAATTTTTGGTGAATTTTGGGGGATTTTTTAGGGCGTTTTCGGGGGGGTTGGAGCAATTTTTTGGGGGTTTGGGGGTGATTTTTGGGTTTGGGGGGGATTTGGGAGGGGTTTGGGTTGATTTGGGTCAATTTTGGTTGATTTTTGGGGTTTTTATAGTGAATTTTGGTGAATTTTGAGGGATTTTTGAGGGACTTTTGAAAGATTTTTGAGGAGATTTTTGAGAGATTTTGGGGGGGTTTTGGGGAATTTTTGGGGGGATTTGGGGAGATTTTGGGGATTTCAGGAGGGTTTGGGGATCTTCGAGGTGTTTTTGGTTAATTTTGGGTGATTTTGGGGTGAATTTGGGAGGTTTTTGGGGTTAATTTTGGAGGGAAAGGTTTTTTTTTTGGGGTGGGGGGAGCAGCGCCTGCTCCACCAGCTGGGGGGGCCCCTGGGGGGGCTCCTGGGGGGGCCCCGCACCCACTTCCCAGACCCCCGCCTCGTCCAGTACGACTGTGGTGAGTTTGGGGCCAAAAACCGGCATTTTGGGCAATTTCGGTGAATTTTTGTCAATTTTCGGTGAATTTTTGGGGGATTTTTTGGTGAATTTTGGGGATTTTTGAGGGCGTTTTGGGGGGAGTTTAGGAGGGATTTGGGGGTCCTGGGGGGTATTTTTTGGGTTTAGGGGAGATTTGAGGCATTTTTGGGGGTGGTTGAGTCAATTTTGGTCAATTTTGGGGGATTTTTGGGGTTTTTTTGGAGAATTTTTTAGGGATTTTTGAGGGAGTTTTGAAAGATTTTTGAGAGATTTTTAGGGCGATTTTGGGGTATTTTTGGGGGGATTTGGGAGATTTTGGGGAGATTTCGGGAGGATTTGGGGAACTTTGAGGTGTTTTTGGTTAATTTTGGGTGATTTTTGGCTGAATTTGGGGGATTTGGGTGATTTTGGGGTGATTTTGGTTGAATTTTGAGGGAGTTTTGAGAGATTTTTGAGGAAGTTTTGAGGGAGTTTTGGGTGGATTTGGGTGGGTTTTTGGGGTCTAGGGAGATTTTTGGGGGATTTAGGAGGGATTTGAGGGGGTTTTGGTCAATTTTGAGTGATTTTGGGGGTGATTTTTGGGCAATTTTGGTGAATTTTCGGTAAATTTTTGGTGAATTTTGGGGGATTTTTGAGGGGGTTTGGGGGGTTGGAGGGATTTTTGGGGATTTGGGGATTTTTGGGGTATGGGGGATTTGGGAGGGGTTTGGGTTGATTTGGGTTGATTTTGGTTGATTTTTGGGCAATTTTGGTTGAATTTTGAGGGATTTTTGAGAGTGATTTGAGAGATTTTTGAGGGAGTTTTAAGGGAGTTTGGGGGATTTTTGGGGGCTTAGGAGGTATTTGAGGGTTTTTGTTAAATTTTGAGTGATTTTTGGGGTGATTTTGTGGCAATTTTTAGGGTTTTTTTGTCAATTTTTGGTGAATTTTTAGTGAATTTTTGGTGAATTTTGAGAATTCTTTGGGGGATTGGGAGATTTTTGGGGGTTGGGGGTGATTTTGGGGTTTGGGGGGGATTTGGGAGGGGTTTGGGTCGATTTGGGTCAATTTTGGTTGATTTTTGGGGTGATTTTTGGACAATTTTGGTTGAATTTTGAGAGAGTTTTGAAGGATTTTGATGCTAATTTTGGGGGTTTTGAGAGGGATTGGGGGGATTTTTGGGGACTTCTGGGGGTGATTTTTGGGTTTGGGGGGGATTTGGGAGGGGTTTGGGTTGATTTGGGTCGATTTTGGTTGATTTTGGGGTGATTTTTGGGGTTTTTTTGGGGATTTTTGAGGGATTTTTGAGGGAGTTTTGAAGGATTTTGGAGGGGATTTTTGGGGGATTTTTGGGGGGATTTGGAGGGGTTTGAGGAGAATTTTGGGGTCTAGAAAGATTTTTGGGGGGGTTTAGGAGGGATTTGAGGGGTTTTTGGTAAATTTTGAGTGATTTTTGGGGTGATTTTGGCTGATTTCGGTGAATTTTCAGTGAATTCTTGGTGAATTTTGGGGGATTTTTTGGGTGGATTTGGGGGAGTTTAGGAGGGATTTGGGGACTTCTGGGGGTGATTTTTGGGTTTGGGGGGATTTGGGAGGGGTTTGGGTCGATTTTGGTCAATTTTGGTTGATTTTTGGGGTTTTTTTGGTGAATTTTGAGGAATTTTTGAGGGAGTTTTGAAGGATTTTTGAGGGGATTTTTGGGGGGGTTTGGGGGAGTTGGAGGGGTTTGAGGAGATTTTTGGGGTCTAGGGAGATTTTTTGGGGGGGTTAGGAGGAATTTGAGGGGGTTTTGGTAAATTTTGAGTGATTTTTGGGGTGATTTTAGCTGATTTCAGTGAATTTTCAGTGAAATTTTGGTCAATTTTGGGGGATCTTTGGGGGGGTTTTGGGGGAGGTTGAGAGGATTTTTGGGGATTTGGGGGTGATTTTGGGGTTTGGGGGGATTTGGGAGGGATTTGGGTCGATTTGGGTCGCTTTTGGTTGATTTGGGTCAATTTTGGGGTGATTTTTGGGCAATTTTGGTGATTTTTGAGGGATTTTTGAGAGGGATTTGAGAGATTTTTGAGGGAGTTTTAAGGGGGGTTTTGGGGGGATTTGGAGGGGTTTGAGAAGATTTTTGGGGTCTAGGGAGATTTTTGGGGGGTTTAGGAGGAATTTGAGGGGTTTTTGGTAAATTTTGAGTGATTTTTGGGGTGATTTGTGTGGCAATTTTTAGGGTTTTTTTGTCAATTTTCGGTGAATTTTTAGTGAATTTTTGGTGAATTTTGAGAATTCTTTGGGGGGGGGTTGAGGGGATTTTTGGGGATTTGGGGGTGATTTTTGGGTTTGAGGGGGATTTGGGAGGGGTTTGGGTCAATTTGGGTTGATTTGGGGGCAATTTTTGGGCGATTTTTGGCTTTTTTTGGTAAATTTTGAGAGGGATTTGAGAGATTTTTGGGGGTTTGAGGGGGATTTGGGTGGATTTTTGGGGTCTGGGAGATTAAACCCCTCAACCCCCCCAGTGACCCCAGTTTTGGGGGGATTGAGGATTTTTGGGGGTTTGAGTTGATTTTTGGGTTTGGGGGGGATTGAGGGATTTGGGTCAATTTTGGGTGATTTTGGGGCGATTTTTGGGTGATTTTTGGCTTTTTTTGGTGAATTTTGAGGGATTTTTGAGAAGGACTTGAGAGATATTTGAGGGGAAATTTGGAGAGGATTTGGGGGGGATTTTGGGGGTTTAGGGGGCCTACAGTGGATATGGGGTCGATTTGAGGGGTTTTTGGTTGATTTTTGGGGTGATTTTGGGCTGATTTTGGCGATTGTCTCCTCACCTGTCCCCCTCCCCCATGCAGGTAAACTGCAGATGTCCTCAAATCCCCTTCAAATACCCTCAAATCCCCTCAAACCCCCCAAATCTCCCCAAATCCCCCCAACCCTCCCCCAGGTGCCCCCAGGTGACCCAAATCCCCTCAAATCTCCTCACCCCCCCAAATCCCCTCAACCCCCCTAACTCTCCCCAAATCCCCTCAAACCCCCAAATCCCCTCAAACCCCCTAACTCGTCCCAACTCCCCAAATCCCCCCAAACCCCTCCCTGGTCCTCACCTGGCACACCTGGGACCTTACCTGGGTCATCTGGAACCCACCTGGGACTCACCTGAGACCCCCAAAACCCCACCTGGGACACCCAAATCCCCCAAATCCCCCTCAAACCCCCCTCAACTCCCCCTCAATCCCCCAAATCCCTCAACCCTCCCATCCCCTCAAACCCCCCAAATCCCCTCACTCTCCCCCAATCCTCCCCTAAATCTTCCTCAACCCCCAAATCCCCTCAAACCCCTCAAACCTCCTCAACCCTCCCAAATCTCCCCTCAATCCTCCCAAATTCCCCAAATGATCCTCAAACCCTCAACCCCCTCAAATCCCCCAAATCCCCTCAAACTTGTCCACATCCTACTTGACCCCTTCCAAATCCCCCTCAAACCCCCAATCCCCTCAAACCCCCAAATCCCTCCCCAAATCCCCTCAATCTCTCAAATCCCCTCAATCTCTCCCAAATCCTCAACCCCTCAACCCCCCCAAATCCTCCTCAAATCTCTCAAACCCTCAACTCCCCTCAATCCCCCAAACCCCCTCAAATTCCCCCAGGTGCCCCAATTGACCAAATTTCCCAAATCCTCGAATCCCCAAATCCTCTCAAGTCCCTCAATCCCCTCAGCCTCAAATCTCTCAAACTCCCAAATCCCTCACCTTCCCAAATCCCCCAGGTGCCCCCCCAGGTGACCCCCTGTCCCCCTGTGCCCCTCAGGTAAGCTGCAGACCCTGGACGTGCTGCTGCGGGGGCTGAAGGCGGGCGGGCACCGCGTGCTCATCTTCACGCAGATGACGCGGATGCTCGACGTGCTGGAGCGGTTCCTCACCTTCCACGGGCACCTCTACCTGCGCCTCGACGGCTCCACCCGCGTGGAGCAGAGACAGGTGAGACCAGGGGGCTTGGGGGCTTGAGGGGGATTTGAGGGGACTTGAGGGGATTTGTTAAGGGGATTTGGGGGTTTGAGGGGATTTGGGAGGAGTTGAGGGGGATTTGGGGGCTTGAGGGGATTTGGGGGGATTGGGGATTTGGGGGATTTGGGGGATTTTTGGGGGTCTCAGGTGGGGCTCTTGGGAGTCTCAGGTGAGTCCCAGGTGGGTTCCAGATGACCCAGGTGAGGTCTCAGGTGTGCCAGGTGAGACCAGGGAGGGGTCTGAGGGGGATTTGGGGGGTTTGAGGGGATTTGAGGGGCTTTGGGTGTCCCAGGTGGGGTTTTTGGGTCTCAGGTGAGTCCCAGTTGGACCCAGGTGGAGTCCCAGGTGGGTTCCAGATGACCCAGGTAAGGTCTCAGTTGTGCCAGGTGAGGACCAGGGAGGGGTTTGGGGGATTTTGGGGGAGTTTGGGGGATTTGTGGGGGTTTGAGGGGATTTGAGGGGATTTGGGGGATTTGAGGGGGATTTGGGGGTCTCAGGTGAGGCTTCTCACCTTCCACGGGCACCTCTACCTGCGTCTCGACGGCTCCACCGCGTGGAGCAGAGACAGGTGAGGGTTTGAGGGGGATGGGTTGGGGGTTTGAGGGGATTTGATGGGGATTTGGGGGTTTGGGGTCTCAGCTGAGGCTTCCTCACCTTCCACGGGCACCTCTACCTGCGCTCGACGGCTCCACCCGCGTGGAGCAGAGACAGGTGAGGTCACCTGGCCTCCCAGGGGGTTTGAGGGGATTTGGGGGTTTGAGGGGGATTTGGGGGTTTGAGGGGATTTGGGGGTTTTGGGTGTCCCAGGTGGAGTTTTGGGGTCTCAGGTGAGTCCCAGGTGGGTTCCAGGTGACCCAGGTGAGGTCTCAGATGTGCCAGGTGAGACCAGGAGGGGTTTGGAGGTTTGGGGGATTTGGGGGGTTTGAGGGGGTTTGGGGGATTTGGGGGCTTGAGGGGATTTGGGGGATTTGGAGGGGTTTGGGGGATTTGGGGTCTCAGGTGAGACTTCCTCACCTTCCACGGGCACCTCTACCTGCGCTCGACGGCTCCACCCGCGTGGAGCAGAGACAGGTGAGGTCACCTAGCCTCCCAGGGGGTTTGAGGGGATTTGGGGGGTTTCAGGGGATTTGGGGGGATTTGGGGGATTTCAGGTGTCCCAGGTGGGGTTTTGGGGTCTCAGGTGAGTCCCAGGTGGGTTCCAGATGACCCAGGTGAGGTCTCAGATGTCCTAGGTGAGACCAGGGAGGGGTTTGGGGGGTTTTGGGGGATTTGGGGGGTTTGAGGGGGATTTGGGGGTTTGAGGGGGATTTGGGGGATTTCGGGTGTCCCAGGTGAGGTTTTGGGGTCTCAGGTGAGTCCCAGGTGACTCAGGTGAGATCTCAGATGTGCCAGGTGAGACCAGGAGGGGTTTGAGGGGGATTTGGGGGGTTGAGGGGATTTGGGGGGTTTGGGGGTTTTAGGGGGATTTGGGGGTTTGAGGGGTTTGAGGGGATTTGGGGGATTTAGGTCTCAGGTGAGGCTTCCTCACCTTCCACGGGCACCTCTACCTGACGCTCGACGGCTCCACCCGGCTGTGGAGCAGAGACAGGTGAGGTCACCTGAGCTCCCAGGGGGTTTGAGGGGATTTGGGGGTTTTGGGGAGGTTTGAGGGGGATTTGGGGGTTTGAGGGGGTTTTGGGGGTTTTGGGTGTCCCAGGTGAGTCCCAGGTGGGTTCCAGATGACCCAGGTAAGGTCTCAGGTGTGCCAGGTGAGACCAGGAGGGTTTGAGGGGAATTTGGGGGTTTGAAGGGGATTTGGGGGTTTGAGGGGAATTTGGGGGTTTGAGGGGATTTGAGGGGATTTGAGGGGGTTTGGGGGATTGAGGGGATTTGGGGGTTTGAGGGGATTTGGGGGGATTTGAGGGGAGCTTGGGGGATTTGAGGGGATTTGGGGGTTTGAGGGGATTTGGGGAGGTTTGAGGGGATTTGGGAGGTTTGAGGGGGATTTGGGGGTTTGATGGGGATTTGGGGGTTTGATGAGATTTGGGGGTTTGAGGGGGATTTGGGGGGGTTTGATGGGGATTTGGGGAGGTTTTGGGTGTCCCAGGTAGGGTTTTGGGGGTCTCAGGTGAGTCCCAGTTGACCCAGGTGAGGTCTCAGGTGGGTTCCAGGTGGTCTCAGATGGTCCCCCAGATGACTCAGGTGAGCACCCAGGTGTGCCAGGTGATCACTTGGGTGCTCAGGAGCCCCCCAGGTGCCCCCCAGGTGCCCCCCAGGTGAGCACCCACGTGCTCAGGAGCCCCCCAGGTGCCCCCCAGGTGCCCCCCAGGTGCCCCCCTGCCCTCACCTGTCCCCACCTGTCCCCCCAGGCGCTGATGGAGCGCTTCAACGCCGACAAGCGCATCTTCTGCTTCATCCTCTCCACGCGCAGCGGCGGCGTCGGCGTCAACCTGGCAGGTGAGGGACGCCCCTCCCCCCCCTCCTGGGGGTCACCTGGGCATGAGGGACCCACCTGGGGCTCACCTGGGACTCACCTGGACCCACCTGGGGCTCACCTGGCAGGTGCCGACACCGTCGTGTTCTACGACAGCGACTGGAACCCCACCATGGACGCGCAGGCGCAGGACAGGTGTCACCGCATCGGCCAGACCCGAGACGTCCACATCTACAGGTGAGCCTGGACACACCTGGGATACACCTGGGATCATTTACACACACCTGGAATCATTTACACACACCTGGGCACACCTGGAGTCATTTACACACACCTGGGATCATTTACACACACCTGGGATCATTTACACACACCTGGGATCATTTACACACACCTGGGGGCATTGACACACACCTGGGATCATTTACACACACCTGGGATCATTTACACACACCTGGGATCATTTACACACACCTGGAATCATTTACACACACCTGGGACACACCTGGAATCATTTACACACACCTGGGGGCATTTACACACACCTGGGATACACCTGGAATCATTTACACACACCTGGGACACACCTGGGGGCATTTACACACACCTGGAATCATTTACACACACCTGGAATCATTTACACACACCTGGGATCATTTACACACACCTGGGGGCATTTACACACACCTGGGATCATTTACACACACCTGGGATCATTTACACACACCTGGGGGCATTTACACACACCTGGGATCATTTACACACACCTGGGACACACCTGGAATCATTTACACACACCTGGGATCATTTACACACACCTGGGATCATTTACACACACCTGGGATCATTTACACACACCTGGGATCATTTACACACACCTGGGATCATTTACACACACCTGGGGGCATTTACACACACCTGGGATCATTTACACACACCTGGGATCATTTACACACACCTGGGATCATTTACACACACCTGGGATCATTTACACACACCTGGGATCATTTACACACCTGGGGGCATTTACACACCTGGGATCATTTACACACACCTGGGATCATTACACACACCTGGGATCATTTACACACACCTGGGATCATTTACACACACCTGGAGCATTTACACACACCTGGGATCATTTACACACACCTGGGATCATTTACACACACCTGGGGGCATTTACACACACCTGGGATCATTTACACACACCTGGGATCATTTACACACACCTGGGATCATTTACACACACCTGGAATCATTTACACACACCTGGAATCATTTACACACACCTGGGATCATTTACACACAGCTGGGATCATTTACACACACCTGGGATCATTTACACACACCTGGGGGCATTTACACACACCTGGGATCATTTACACACACCTGGAATCATTTACACACACCTGGAATCATTTACACACACCTGGGATCATTTACACACACCTGGGATCATTTACACACACCTGGGATCATTTACACACACCTGGGGCATTTACACACACCTGGGATCATTTACACACACCTGGGATCATTTACACACACCTGGGATCATTGACACACACCTGGGATCATTTACACACACCTGGGGCATTTACACACACCTGGGATCATTTAACACACCTGGGATCATTTACACACACCTGGGATCATTTACACACACCTGGGGGCATTTACACACACCTGGGATACACCTGGCAGATGGTGACACCATCGGCCAGACCATGACATCCACATCTACAGTGAGAACACACCTGGGATCATTGACACACACCTGGGATACACCTGGATCATTTACACACACCTGGAATCATTTACACACACCTGGGATCATTTACACACACCTGGGATCATTTACACACACCTGGGATCATTTACACACACCTGGAATCATTTACACACACCTGGGATCATTTACACACACCTGGGATCATTTACACACACCTGGGGCATTCACACACCTGGGATCATTTACACACCTGGGATCATTTACACACACCTGGAATCATTTACACACACCTGGGATCATTTACACACACCTGGGATCATTTACACACACCTGGAATCATTTACACACACCTGGGATACACCTGGAATCATTTACACACACCTGGGATCATTTACACACACCTGGGATCATTTACACACACCTGGGATCATTTACACACCTGGGATCATTTACACACACCTGGGGCATCTACACACACCTGGGATCATTTACACACACCTGGGATCATTTACACACACCTGGAATCATTTACACACACCTGGGATCATTTACACACACCTGGGACACACCTGGGGGCATTTACACACACCTGGGATCATTTACACACACCTGGGAGCATTTACACACACCTGGGATCATTTACACACACCTGGGATCATTTACACACACCTGGGATCATTTACACACACCTGGGATACACCTGGAATCATTTACACACACCTGGGATCATTTACACACACCTGGGGGTATCTACACACACCTGGGATCATTTACACACACCTGGGATCATTTACACACACCTGGGATACACCTGGAATCATTTACACACACCTGGGGGCATTTACACACACCTGGGGGCATTTACACACACCTGGAATCATTTACACACACCTGGGATCATTTACACACACCTGGGATACACCTGAGGCCACACCTGGCCAGGTGAGAGCCACACCCGAGGCCACACCCGAGGTCACACCCGAGCGCCCTGTGGCTCCCTCACCTGCCCACCTTGTGGTTGGGAGGTCACCTTGGGGTGTCAGGGAAGGTGCCACCTGCTCCAGGTGAGCTCACCTGTGCCCCCCTCACCTGGGCAGGTTGATCAGCGAGCGGACGGTGGAGGAGAACATCCTGAAGAAAGCCAATCAGAAGAGGATGTTGGGGGACATGGCCATCGAGGGGGGCAACTTCACCACTGCCTACTTCAAACAGGTAACACACCTGGACAGGTGACACACCTGGACAGGTGAGATGGGATGGGATGGGATGGGATGGGATGGGATGGGACAGGTGACACACCTGAACAGGTGAGATGGGATGGGATGGGATGGGATGGGATGGGATGGGATGGGACAGGTGGGACAGGTGGGACAGGTGAGATGGGACAGGTGAGATGGGATGGGATGGGATGGGATGGGACAGGTGGGACAGGTGGGACAGGTGGGACAGGTGGGGCCATGGCCATCGAGGGAAGCAACTCCACCACCGCCACTAAACAGGTAAATCACACCTGGACAGGTGAGATGGACAGGGGATGGGAGATGGATGGGATGGATGGGATGGGATGGATGGGATGGATGGGATGGGATGGATGGATGGGACAGGTGGACAGGTGAGGGGATTGATGGGATGGGATGCCGATGGGCATGGCGATGGGATGCATCGATCGCACCAGACAGGTGACACACCTGGACAGGTGAGATGGGATGGGATGGATGGGATGGGATGGATGGGATGGGATGGGATGGGATGGGATGGGATGGGATGGGACAGGTGGGACAGGTGGGACAGGTGGGGCCATGGCCATCACGAGGGGCAACTTCACCACCGCCTACTTCAAACTGAGGCAACACACCTGGACAGGTGAGATGGGATAGGATGGGATGGGATGGGATGGGATGGGATGGGATGGGATGGGATGGGATGGGACAGGTGGGACAGGTGGGACAGGTGGGGACAGTGAGATGAGATGGGATGGATGGGATGGATGGATGGGACAGGTGGGACAGGTGGGACAGGTGGGCCATGGCCATCGAGGGGGCAACTTCACCACCGCCTACTTGCAAACAGGCAAACACACCTGGACAGGTGAGATGGGATGGGATGGGATGGGATGGGATGGGATGGGATGGGATGGGATGGGATGGGATGGGATGGGATGGGATGGGATGGGACAGGTGGGGACAGGTGGGACAGGTGGGACAGGTGAGATGGAGATGGGATGGGATGGATGGGATGGATGATGGGATGGGATGGATGGGATAGGATGGGACAGGTGGGACAGGTGCAGGTGACAGGTGGGGCCATGCACATCGAGGGGGCAACTTCACCACCGCCTCACTGCAAACAGGTGCAACACACCTGGACAGGTGAGATGGATGGGATGGAGATGGGATGGGATGGGATGGGATGGGGATGGGACAGGTGGGACAGGTGGGACAGGTGGGGCCATGGCCATCGAGGGGGCAACTTCACCACTGCCTACTGCAAACAGGCAACACACCTGGACAGGTGACGATGGGATGGGATGGGATGGGATGGGATGATGGGATGGGATGGGATGGGATGGGATGGATGGGACAGGTGGGACAGGTGGACAGGTGGGCCATGGCCATCGAGGGGGCAACTTCACCACCGCCTACTGCAAACAGGTAACACACCTGGACAGGTGAGATGGGATGGGATGGGATGGGATGGGATGGGATGGGATGGGATGGGACAGGTGGGACAGGTGGGACAGGTGGGGCCATGGCCATCGAGGGGGCAACTTCACCACCGCCTACTGCAAACAGGTAACACACCTGGACAGGTGAGATGGGATGGGATGGGATGGGATGGGATGGATGGGATGGGATGGGATGGGTGGGACAGGTGGGACAGGTGGGACAGGTGGGGCCATGGCCATCGAGGGGGGCAACTTCACCACCGCCTACTGCAAACAGGTAACACACCTGGACAGGTGAGATGGGATGGGATGGGATGGGATGGGATGGGATGGGATGGGATGGGATGGGGATGGGACAGGTGGGACAGGTGGGACAGGTGGGGCCATGGCCATCGAGGGGGCAACTTCACCACCGCCTACTGCAAACAGGTAACACACCTGGACAGGTGAGATGGGACAGGTGAGATGGGATGGGATGGGATGGATGGGATGGGATGGGATGGGATGGGATGGGATGGGATGGGACAGGTGGGACAGGTGGGACAGGTGGGCCATGGCCATCGAGGGGGCAACTTCACCACCGCCTACTGCAAACAGGTAACACACCTGGACAGGTGAGATGGGATGGGATGGGATGGGATGGGATGGGATGGGATGGGATGGGACAGGTGGGACAGGTGGGGCCATGGCCATCGAGGGGGCAACTTCACCACCGCCTACTGCAAACAGGTAACACACCTGGACAGGTGACACCTGGGACAGGTGAGATGGGATGGGATGGGATGGGATGGGATGGGATGGGATGGGATGGGATGGGACAGGATGGGACAGGTGGGACAGGTGGGGCCATGGCCATCGAGGGGGCAACTTCACCACCGCCTACTGCAAACAGGTAACACACCTGGACAGGTGAGATGGGATGGGATGGGATGGGATGGGATGGGATGGGATGGGATGGGACAGGATGGTGGGACAGGTGGGACAGGTGGGGCCATGGCCATCGAGGGGGCAACTTCACCACCGCCTACTGCAAACAGGTAACACACCTGGACAGGTGAGATGGGACAGGTGAGATGGGATGGGATGGGATGGGATGGGATGGGATGGGATGGGATGGGATGGGATGGGATGGTGACAGGTGGGACAGGTGGGACAGGTGAGGCCATGGCCATCGAGGGGGGCAACTTCACCACCGCCTACTGCAAACAGGTAACACACCTGGACAGGTGACACACCTGGGACAGGTGAGATGGGATGGGATGGGATGGGATGGGATGGGATGGGATGGGATGGGACAGGTGGGACAGGTGGGACAGGTGGGGCCATGGCCATCGAGGGGGGCAACTTCACCACCGCCTACTGCAAACAGGTAACACACCTGGACAGGTGAGATGGGATGGGATGGGATGGGATGGGATGGGATGGGATGGGATGGATGGGACAGGTGGGACAGGTGGGGCCAGGTGGCCATCGAGGGGGCAACTTCACCACTGCCTACTGCAAACAGGTAACACACCTGGACAGGTGAGATGGGATGGGATGGGATGGGATGGGATGGGATGGGATGGGATGGGATGGGATGGACAGGTGGGACAGGTGGGCAGGGCCATGGCCATCGAGGGGGGCAACTTCACCACTGCCTACTGCAAACAGGTAACACACCTGGACAGGTGAGATGGGACATGGGATGGGATGGGATGGGATGGGATGGGATGGGATGGGATGGGATGGGATGGGATGGGATGGGACAGGTGGGACAGGTGGGACAGGTGGGACAGGTGGGGCCATGGCCATCGAGGGGGGCAACTTCACCACTGCCTACTGCAAACAGGTAACACACCTGGACAGGTGAGATGGGATGGGATGGGATGGGATGGGATGGGATGGGATGGGATGGGATGGGATGGGATGGATGGGACAGGTGGGACAGGTGGGACAGGTGGGGCCATGGCCATCGAGGGGGCAACTTCACCACTGCCTACTGCAAACAGGTAACACACCTGGACAGGTGAGATGGGACAGGTGAGATGGGATGGGATGGGATGGGATGGGATGGGATGGGATGGGATGGGATGGGATGGGACAGGTGGGACAGGTGGGACAGGTGGGGCCATGGCCATCGAGGGGGCAACTTCACCACTGCCTACTGCAAACAGGTAACACACCTGGACAGGTGAGATGGGATGGGATGAGGATGGGATGGGATGGGATGGGATGGGATGGGACAGGTGGGACAGGTGGGGCCATGGCCATCGAGGGGGGCAACTTCACCACTGCCTACTTCAAACAGGTAACACACCTGGACAGGTGAGATGGGATGGGATGGGATGGGATGAGATGGGATGGGACAGGTGAGATGGGATGGGATGGGATGGGATGGGATGGATGGACAGGTGGACAGGTGAGATGGGATGGGATGGATGATGGGATGGGATGGATGGGATGGGATGGGATGGGATGGGATGGAGATGGGATGGGATGGGACAGGTGGGACAGGTGGGGCCATGGCCATCGAGGGGGCAACTTCACCACCGCCTACTGCAAACAGGTAACACACCTGGACAGGTGAGATGGGATGGGATGGGATGGGATGGGATGGATGGGATGTGGATGGGATGGGATGGGATGGACAGGTGGGACAGGTGGGACAGGTGGGCCATGGCCATCGAGGGGGCAACTTCACCACTGCCTACTGCAAACAGGTAACACACCTGGACAGGTGAGATGGGATGGGATGGGATGGATGGGATGGGATGGGATGGATGGGACAGGTGGGACAGGTGGGACAGGTGGGGCCATGGCCATCGAGGGGGGCAACTTCACCACCGCCTACTGCAAACAGGTAACACACCTGGACAGGTGAGATGGGATGGGATGAGATGAGATGGGATGGGATGGGATGGGATGGGATGGGATGGGATGGGATGGATGGGATGGGATGGGACAGGTGGGACAGGTGGGACAGGTGGGGCCATGGCCATCGAGGGGGGCAACTTCACCACCGCCTACTGCAAACAGGTAACACACCTGGACAGGTGACACACCTGGACAGGTGAGATGGATGGATGGGATGGGATGGGATGGGATGGGATGGGATGGGATGGGATGGGATGGATGGGACAGGTGGGACAGGTGGGGCCATGGCCATCGAGGGGGGCAACTTCACCACTGCCTACTGCAAACAGGTAACACACCTGGACAGGTGAAGACTGGGATGGGATGGGATGGGATGGGATGGGATGGGATGGGACAGGTGGGACAGGTGGGGCCATGGCCATCGAGGGGGGCAACTTCACCACCGCCTACTGCAAACAGGTAACACACCTGGACAGGTGAGATGGGATGAGATGGATGGGATGGGATGGGATGGGATGGGATGGGATGGGATGGGATGGTGACAGGTGGGACAGGTGGGACAGGTGGGGCCATGGCCATCGAGGGGGCAACTTCACCACCACCTACTGCAAACAGGTAACACACCTGGACAGGTGACACTGGGACAGGTGAGATGGGATGGGATGGGATGGGATGGGATGGGATGGGATGGGATGGGACAGGTGGGACAGGTGGGACAGGTGGGACAGGTGGGCCATGGCCATCGAGGGGGCAACTTCACCACTGCCTACTGCAAACAGGTAACACACCTGGACAGGTGAGATGGGATGGGATGGGATGGGATGGGATGGGATGGGATGGGATGGGATGGGATGGGATGGGACAGGTGGGGACAGGTGGGACAGTGGGCCATGGCCATCGAGGGGGCAACTTCACCACTGCCTACTGCAAACAGGTAACACACCTGGACAGGTGACACACCTGGGACAGGTGAGATGGGATGGGATGGGATGGGATGGATGGGATGGGATGGGATAGGATGGGATGGGATGGGACAGGTGGGACAGGTGGAGGACATAGCCATCGAGGGAGGCAACTTCACCACTGCCATAACTGTAAACAGGTAACACACCTGGACATTGACCGCACCTGGGACAGGTGAGATGAGATAGGATTAGGATAGATGATAGGATAGGATGGGATAGGATGGGGCAGGTAGAGATGGGACAGGTGGGACAGGTGGGACAGGTGGAGCCCATGGCCATCGAGGGGCAACTTCACCACCGCCACTGCAACAGGTAGCACACCTGGACAGGTGAAGATGGGATAGGATGAGATGTGGATGGGATGGGATGGGATGGGATGGGATGGGATGGGATGGGATGAGATAGGATGGATGGGATGGGATGGCACAGGTGGGACAGGTAGATGGGACAGAATGAGATGGGACAGAGTGAGATGAGAGCAGATAGATGGCCCATAGAGTGGGATAGGATAGTAGATAGAGACAGGTGAGACAGGATGGACAGGTAGGATGTCCTCAACCCCTCAGAGTGTCCCAGGTGTCCCCAACCCCCCAGGTATCCCCAACTCTCTCAGGTGTCCCCAACCCCCCCAGGTGACCCCATTTCTGTCCCCTCCCCCAGCAAACGATCCGGGAGCTGTTCGACATGAGCCCCGACGGGGACAAGGACGGGGACGGGGACCCCAAAGGTGACCCCAAAGGTGACCCCAAAGGAGACCCCAAAGGAGACCCCAAAGGTGACCCCAGAGGTGACCCCAAGGACAGGGGGGACATCAGAGGGGACCCCCCGAGGACGAGGAGGACGCGGCGGCCACGAGGGGCACCCACATCCTGGAGCAGGTGAGGGGACAGCAGGTGAGGGCACCCACCCCCCCCAGGGGGGCACCTGGGTGACAGCAGGGTCACCTGTGGGACCTCAGGGTCACCTGTGGGACCTCAGAGTCACCTGTGTGACCTCAGGGTCACCTGTGTCACCTGTGTGACCTCAGAGTCACCTATGGGACCTCAGGGTCACCTGTGTGACCTCAGGGTCACCTGTCACCTGTGTGACCCCTGTGTGATCTCTGTGACCTCAGTGTCACCTGGGTGACATCACGGTCACCTGTGGGACCTCAGGGTCACTGTGTGTGACCCCTGTGTGACCTCTGTGACCTCAGGGTCACCTGGGTGACATCAGGGTCACCTGTGTGACCTCAGTGTCACCTGTGTCACCTGTGTCATCTCAGGGTCACCTGTGTGACCCCAGGGTCACCTGTGTCGTGAATTTGAGGGATTTTTGGAGGGAGTTTTGGAAGGATTTTTGAGGGGTCTTTCAGAGGCTTTTGGGGGTTTTGGGGATTTTTTGGGGGATTTTTGGGGATTTCAGGAGGGTTTGGGGATCTTTGAGGTGTTTTTGGTGAATTTTGGGTGATTTTGGGGTGAATTTGGGAGGTTTTGGGTTAATTTTGGGGTAAAGGTTTTTTAGGGCGGAGCAGTGCTGCTCCACCATTGGCTGGGGGAGCCTGGGGGCTCTGGGGCCCCGCCCACTCTTCCCAGACCCCGCCTCGTCCAGTACGACTGCGGGGAGTTTGGGAGCGAAAATCGGCATTTTGGGCAATTTTGGGGATTTTCGGTGAATTTTGGTGAATTTTGGTGAATTTTGGGGGATTTTTAGGGGGTTTGGGGAATTTAGGGGGATTTGGGGGTCCTGGGGTATTTTTGGGGTTTAGGGGGATTTGAGGGATTTTGGGGTTGTTTGGAAAATTTTGGTCAATTTGGGTGATTTTTGGGCAATTTCGTGAATTTTTGGGGAATTTTGGGGATTTTTGGTGAATTTTGGGAATTTCTTTGGGGGGTTGGGGGGATTTTGGGGGATTTGGGGGTGATTTTTGGAGTTTGAGGATTTGGGAGGGGTTTGGGTCAATTTTGGTCAATTTTGGGGGATTTTTGGGCACTTTTGGTTGAATTTTGAGAGATTTTTGAGGGAGTTTTGAAAGATTTTTGAGCGATTTTTGAGGTGGTTTTGGGGTATTTTTGGGTGGATTTTGGGAGATTTTGGGGAGATTTCGGGAGGATTTGGGGATCTTTGAGGTGTTTTTGGTTAATTTTGGGTGAATTTGGGAGGTTTTTGGGGTTAATTTTGGAGGGAAAGGTTTTTTTTGGGGGGGGGAGCAGCGCCTGCTCCACTCAGCTGGGGGCCCCTGGGGCTCCTGGGGGCCTCCGACCCACTTCCCAGACCCCCGCCTCGTCCAGTACGACTGCGGGAGTTTGGGGCCAAACCGGCATTTTGGGCAATTTCAGTGAATTTTCGGTGAATTTTGGTGAATTTTCGGTGATTTTTGGTGAATTTTGGGGACTTTTGGGGAGTTGGGGGACTTTTGGGGATTTGGGGGTGGTTTTTGGGTTTGGGGGGGATTTGGGAGGGGTTTGGATCGATTTGGGTCGATTTTGGTCGATTTTGGGGCGATTTTGGGTTTTTTTTGGTGAATTTTGAGGAATTTTTGAGAGGGATTTGAGTGAGTTTTAAGGGGGTTGGGGAGTTTGGAGGGAATTTGGAGGATTTTTGGGGTCTAGGGAGATTTTTGTGGGGGTTAGGAGGGATTTGAGGTGTTTTTGGTCAATTTGGAGTGATTTTTGGGGTGATTTTTGGGCAATTTCAGTGAATTTGCATTGAATTTTTGGTGGATTTTTAGTGAATTTTGGGGGATTTTTGGGGGTTTGGGGGATTTTTGAGGATTTGGGGGTGATTTTGGGGTTGGGGGGGATTTGGGAGGGGTTTGGGTTGATTTGGGTTGATTTTGGGGTGATTTTTGGGTAATTTTGGTTGAATTTTGAGGGATTTTTGGGGGAGTTTTGAAGGATTTTTGAGCGATTTTTGAGGCGGTTTTGAGGTATTTGTGGGGGGATTTTGGGAGATTTTGGGGCATTTCGGGAGGATTTGGGGATCTTTGAGGTGTTTTTGGTGAATTTTGGGTGATTTTGGGGTGAATTTGGGAGGTTTTTGGGGTTAATTTTGGAGAGAAAGGTTTTTTTGGGGGAGGGGGAGCAGCGGCTGCTCCACCAGCTGGGGGGGCCCCTGGGGGGGCTCCTGGGGGGGCCCCGCACCCACTTCCCAGACCCCCGCCTCGTCCAGTGCGACTGCGGGGAGTTTGGGGTGAAAACTCGGCATTTTGGGCAATTTTTAGGGGTTTTTGGTCAATTTACGGTGAATTTTCGTTAGATTTTTGGTGAATTTAGGGGGGATTTTTTGGGGAGGTTGGGGATTTTGGGGGCATTTGGGGGTGATTTTGGGGTTTGGGGGGATTTGGGAGGGGTTTGGGTTGATTTGGGTCGATTTTGGGGCAATTTTTGGGTGATTTTTGAGCGATTTTTGGGCGATTTTTGGCTTTTTTCGGTGAATTTTGAGGGATTTTTGAGAGGAATTTGAGAGATTTTTGAGAGGGTTTTAAGGGGGTTTGGGGGAATTTGAGGGATTTAGGGGTGATTTTTGGGTTTGGGGATTTGGGAGGGGTTTGGGTTGATTTGGATCGATTTTGGTTGATTTTGGGGTGATTTTTGGGCAATTTTGGTTGAATTTTGAGGAAGTTTTGAGTGAGTTTTGAAAGATTTTTGAGTGATTTTTGGGGAGGTTTCGGGGTATTTTTGGGGGATTTTGGGGCATTTCGGAGGATTTGGGGATCTTTGAGGTGTTTTTGGTGAATTTTGGGTGATTTTGGGGTGAATTTGGGAGGTTTTTGGGGTTAATTTTGGGGAGGGGAAAGGTTTTATTTTGATGGGGGGAGCAGCGGCTGCTCCACCAGCTGGGGGCCCCTGGGGGCTCCTGGGGGCCCCGACCCACTCTCCCAGACCCCGCCTCGTCCAGTACGACTGCGGTGAGTTTGGGGCCAAAAACCGGCATTTTGGGCAATTTCGGTGAATTTTTGTCAATTTTCGGTGAATTTTTGGTGAATTTTGGGGGACTTTTTGGGGGTTTGGGGAATTTAGGGGATTTGGGGGTTCCTAAGGGGTATTTTTTGGGTTTAAGGGAGATTTGAGGGATTTTTGGGGGTGTTTGGGTCAATTTTGGTCAATTTTGGGTGATTTTTGGGGCTTTTTTGGTGAATTTTGAGGGATTTTTGAGTGAGTTTTGAAGAATTTTGAAAGATTTTTGAGTGATTTTTGGGGAGGTTTCGGGGTATTTTTGGGGGGATTTTGGGGCATTTCGGGAGGATTTGGGGAACTTTGAGGTGTTTTTGGTGAATTTTGGGTGATTTTGGGGTGAATTTGGGAGGTTTTTGGGGTTAATTTTGGAGGGAAAGGTTTTTGGGGTGGGGAGCAGCGCCTGCTCCACCAGCTGGGGCGCCTGGGGGCTCCTGGGGGCCCAGCACCACTTTCCCAGACCCCGCCTCGTCAGCACGACTGCGGGAGTTTGGAGCAAAACTGGGATTTTGGGCAATTTTGGGGCATTTTCGATGAATTTTTGGTGAATTTTGGGGGATTTTTTGGTGAATTTTGAGGGGTTTTTTGGGGGAGTTGGAGGGGTTTGAGGAGATTTTTGGGGTCTAGGGAAATTTTTTGGGGGGGTTAGGAGGGATTTGAGGGGTTTTTGGTAAATTTTGAGTGATTTTTGGGGTGATTTTTGGGCAATTTCGGGGGATTTTCAGTGAATTTTTGGTGAATTTTTGGTGAATTTTGAGGGGGTTTGGGGGAGTTTGGGGGATTTTGGGGGTTGGTGTTCGTTTTGGGGTTTGGGGGGGATTTGAGAGGGGTTTGGGTTGGTTTTGGTTGGGTTTGGGTTGATTTGGGGCGATTTTGCAGGCGATTGGGGTTTTTGGGTTTTTGGTGAATTTTGGAGGGGGTTTTTGTGAGGATTTGAGAGATTTTGAGGGGAAAATTGGGGGGGATTTTGGGGGATTTGGGGGTTTAGGAGGGTTCTGGAGGAATTTGGGGTCGATTTGAGGGTTTTGGTTGATTTTTGGGGTGATTTTGCGCTGATTTTGGTGATTGTGTGTCACCCTCCCCCCTCCGTGC